TACGGCGTGAGATGATGACGTATAACCTTTATAGGTGTGTGTGTGTGTGTGTGTGTGTGTGTGTGTGTGTGTGTGTGTGTGTGTGTGTTGTGTGTGTAGGTACCCTGAGGTGTAATGAACATTTTGAGATATATTAGTAGCGTATGTGGGTGCCCTGAAAGATACGGCGTGAGATGAAGACGTATAACCTTTATAAGTGCTGAGGAAATAGAGTTGAAACGCACGCGCACACGCCTGCCCGCATAAAAGCACATAACACGTGATGCTATGCACACATATATGCACGTACGGAAGCACGCCAGTATAAGCCTACGCACGTACACACAGACACGTGCGCACACGCGTGCGTCATTTTCCCATCTATCGGACACCTACCCAATATGTCATTCTGTGGTACTCGATTGAACACCCTCACATTTGTTGGTATGATCGGATCCACGCCACCGCGATTAATTGTCCAAATAAAGAAGTAATCACTGAGACTTCCAAATGTCTCCAAGAACACATGAAGCACTGCCTGCAAATGTAAGGTCATCAGCAAGTCACGTGCACATATAAGTTAATTTAGTCAACGCCTTAAATTGAGCCGATGACAAGCCACAGATAGACAAGTGCACAATCGTGCAGATTCAGATATACAAACACATACAAACAGATATGGTGTATTTGAGAAGGTAGATTAAAAAACCGACATGTATAATATAATCAGATTATGTAGCTGTTTTGTGGAAAGTAAACACTTTGGTTGACAGAACGCCTCCGTATCAGCGGGCAACAAGTAAGAAGGGCAGCCATTGCCCTTCTGGTACCGGCGGATTATCACTAAGTATGAGAAGCAACCAGTAAGCTTTTAGTGCCTACGGAGTGCTGACTCCGTACCTTTGGTAAAAACTCCATCGACGATGCAAACGTACCAAACGACACGAAGATGACGGGCCTCTCTCCCGCACCAGCTATGTACGGCTCCACCCCCTGTGGAAGATTGGAACACATTGACACATGTATGCCAACACGACAACGAAAATACGAACTAAATTACACTATTTCCGGGGACGTAGACTCTGCGAAGGAGGGCAAGAGGTACAGCTGTCCCCTAGATTTTGGGGGAAAATAAATTATAAGATTAATAAAATAGTGTACATAACCCTTAAATAAGTGTGAATCATCGACTAGTCATCCCGGAGCCACTCGTATTGGACCCACCCGGATACACTGTGCACGTTCAGCGAAAGTTCGTCCAGTACTCATCATCACTTAGCTGAATCATTATATTATGCTCCCCTTGAGAACTATTAATTATTGTTTGGCAAAGCTTTGTCCAGTAGGACCAGTACATAATTGATTTAGTATGTCTACGTACAATTAATTTTATCACATTTTGGCAAGGCTGTGCCCCATACGTAAGTATGGTGTTTTTTGACTTAGTATCCTACTTGCTTAAGATAATGTTTGGTTAATAAGTTGGTCTCTATTCTATTCACCATTTAGTATTCATTGGCAATTTCTCATAATTGCTTTTGCTGCTTTATTATCTGCTTAAAGTGATTTTGTTAAATAAAATTCAGAAAAGAAAGAATGTAATAGTTGGTTAAAAGAGTTTTTAATGCAAAATAATGAAAATATACAAAATAAGATAACATTTTAATATTTTGGGAATCGAATCGAAGGAATCGAATCGAGAGGCTAACATCTAGATACGGATCGAATCGAAAGGTATGTGTATCGTTACAGACGCCAGGGGCGTAGCTAGGGTGAAATGGATGTGTACGCACACAGAGGGGGGGGGTCTAAACAATAATGTAGATAGCAGGAGATGGTATTTGAGGCGCTTTTGAGTAAATGTACAGCCTTCATTCTGACTACGACAATTATCTTTTTTAGTAGAACTATTCTCTTTATGAGCAACAAGATGTGATGACTAAAGATCACTATAACTAATCATGTAATTTTAGTTTTATTATCAAGACATGTTGAACAAAAGCACATTCTTAAACTCTCTCTTTCTCTCTCTCACTCTCTGTGTGCGTGCGTGCGTGCGTATGCGTTTGCGGGTGCGTGTGGGCGCGTGTGTGTGCTCAAACACACACACACATCACTCATTGCACATCACATCACATCACGGCATTGTTTAAGTCGCGTTCATTATTCGATGTGTATGACCACCGCTGGGATGAGGGCGACAGCAACTCTTTCTTGTTGTGAATTGTGAAAAAGCTGCAAAAGGGTTGTAACCTGCTTTGCCACTCAATTATATAATTTAACCTATGCATCAGGTGACGTTTCGTACATCCGCGCGACTATGTAAAAATATTGTTAGTCCAACAGAGGGGGGAACTAGCCATCCAATCCACCCCTACCCTATATTCGCCACTGATGTAGTAAGCTTGTGAGTAGAGATATCTCAATAGACATATGTCGTGACGAGCGCATGAATTTACGCGCCTCCGTTTTCCGCCAAGGGGTTGGCAAGAGGTTATGTTTTCACCGGCGTGTGTTTGACTGTTTGTTGGTTTGTGGGTTTGTGGGTTTGTGGGTTTGTGGGTTTGTGGGTTTGTGTACAGCCTAACCGAAAAAGTTATGGACGGATTGTCATAAAATTTTCAGAATAGGTCAGAAATCGCCTAACTTAGAATTGATGAGATTTTGGTGGTGATCCGGATCCAATTAATTAATTAATTAATTAAATTTTCAGGATAGGTCCGAAATGGGGTAACTTAGAATTGATCGCATTTTGGTGGTGATCCGGATCCAATTAATTAATTAATTAAAATTTTCACTTAATTAATTAATTGATAAATTAAAGTTTTCACAGTGAGAGAATTCAGCTGCCTTGGCGGAGGTCTGTGCTCTCCGAGTGCTCTAGTATATTTATACGTTAGAGAGATAACCTCACACGACTCGTACTCACGGACGAAGTACACGCGCGGTGCGGGTCATACATGAACAACGCCCTTTGAGCCTAGCAGATAATGGAGGTGTACTTCCGTGAAGGTCCGTCCGTCCGTCCGTCCGTCCGTCCGTCCGTCCGTCCGTCCGTCCGTTCGTCCATCCTCCCACCCACCCATAGTTTATTCATTTATTCGTTCATTCGTTCATTCTAGGTTCGTGTTCGGAACAATATTTGTCGCCGTCGTAGTCGTCGCTGTATTAATAACAATAATAATGTGTTATTGTATTAATAAATACTTAATATTTATTCATACATTCATTCACATTTTCAATCAGTTTTCTCATCGAACGAAGCCAGAAAGGTAAATGCATGCCGGTTTCACCTTCAACCTAGTAAAATAATTGAGATAGTATAGTAAGTAGTATTTACAAAACCGCATCGTTACTTTTTAATGGTAATCAATGTTTTTATCTCAAAGGCTGAGCTCCGCAAAGCCTTACCAAAAAGTATGGTATCATACCTAAAACAATGAAGCTTTTGGAAATGCGGCTGACAGAAAACGGAAACAACAGGTTTTTCGTATAGGAGACAAGGTATGCGCCTGTTCGATTCATAGCTGTGACCTGTGGTTAGAGAATGGTTTCGCACAACAGCCGTTACCGTGCACCTAAATTGTAACGTACTTTTTGTCTTTTGAAATCTGGTTATCACAGTGATAGGGGAGCACGAAGGAAATGGTTCTTTATTGCAATTGTTATAATTAGCCGTTATATATATTATATATTATATATATAATATATATATATATATATATATATATAT